ATTTTCAACTGAATGATGGTGATAAGCATATAACATATCAAATATACTTATGAGACATAATTGGAGAAAGATTTTTATGGGAATTATTAACTTTATATGTTAATACTGTAAAATAAAAGTAGATGATCACTTAGATTTCATTTCTAACCCAAAATGGAAAATGAAATAAAATAAAAAGTACAAGATTGAAAATAATGAATAAAAAATTAATGAACTAGAAAATGGTACGACAGAAGAAAACCACAACAGACTCCAATAATTCCTCTTAAGGTTAGCAGCAGTAATAAACTTCAAAAAGAAATAAAAACCAAAAATTACCAGAAACAAATGAAAAAGGATACAAGTCCACATCTTTCAGACATTAACACAAATAAGAAAATACTAACTACAAATTTATAACAGAAACTTGGCACAATTTAAGTATCATAGATGTTTTTCAAAACTTAAAAGCTACTAAAACTAACAGAAAAGAAATGGAAAATCTTATTTTTTAAGAAATTTGAATTTTTAAAAAAATCTATCCATAGAGAAAAATCTCTGGCCCAAATAACTTCTCTGGTATTCTTCCAGTTACTGCAAGAAGAAATGGTACCAAAATTAACACATAGTTTTCAAAAGAATAGAAAAGTAAAAATAAGAACTGTAAGAAAAATATAGAAAAACATTTTTGTGACCTTGAAATAGTCAGAGATTGTTTTAACAAGATCAAAACAAGTGAAACTCATAGAAAAATGTTTATAAATTAGACTTCACTAAAATTAAGCTTCCCCAAGGGAACGGGAGGACACTTACAAAAGAGTAATGAAGGAATGAATGTGATAAAATAATGCACTTTGTGTCCTTTGAAAGCAGTGTTTTGTAAAATTAATGGGCACAAACACAAATATACTCAAAGACAATTATTAAAATGAAGTTTGAGCATTTGAATTCTATTCTGAAAGACAGTTATTTAAAGAGACACACTTTTCACAACGATTGAAGTCAAAATAGAAAAACACACTAAATACACCATAACATCACTGGTGTAATATCGTTCTTCTCTAAACTTTAATTCCATGTTTAACTTACAGCTTTAAAAGTCACCTATCTTGATGCAGAGGAGCAAGGATGGTGGGTAGATAACAACTGGCTACAAAGGCTCCTTGAGATAGTCAAATTTAGAATTCAAAATAATACAGAGTAGGGAGCCCCTAACAGAGGGAGATGAATTCTCTCATCCCAAGAAGAAATTAAGGTGAGAAGAACTAACCAAACATACAGCCCTGGTGCTATTATTGGAACAGCTAAAGGTTCAGTGTTTTCACCACAGGGGGTGACTTGCTGACCATCCAAGGTTGTGCTGCAGCTTGCCGAGATCCGGCAGCCACTTGCTGAGCTGTCCGAGGTCCCACCGCTTTGACTCACTGGAGGCACAATCACACTGAAGTTGGGGTTGGCCAGCCAAATAGAGAGCTGAGTTGGCAGGGGCAGCAGTGACTTCAGTCAGTTGTTCCCTTCCAAACAAGATTGGTGGAGTGAGCTAGGCCTGAGTAACGTGACCTGGCTGAGATCCAATAGGTTATCTGAAATCAAGTCCCTAGAGCTGTGGCACACACTAACCCAGAAGCTTGACTGACCTGGAGGGGAGGCAGTGCAGAGTAATACAGGACAAGCCACAGCAGTTTTACTGATCCAGAAGGGAGGGACCAGCTTACACTGTCCCTGTCTGCAACTCACTAGCCCACAGTAGTGGGAAGGGTCATCTAACCAGCGCACTTCAGAAGAATTGTAACCAAAAAGAAAGAAACTGGGACCCCCTGGAAGAAGCAAAAAAAAAAAAAAAAATGGGAAGAGGAAGTAACAACAAATGTGCCTTGGTCCCAACCTTGGAGAACACTTACCCAGGACAGGTTAATACAAAGGAGAATGGGAACAGCAAACATGCAGTATCAGACAAGGCACCAGTGAACATAAAGAGATATCTTCAGGACCTCATAGACGAGTTTAAAAGTGAAATATTTAGCCAAGTAAAGCAAGATATAAGAAGATTAATAAAAGAGATACTAAGCACCCCTCAAGCAGACACAGATGGAAGAAGGGAGGAACTCAAACAAAGGAGAGAACCATTTTGATAAAGAATATAAAGAAAACATAGATTATACGAGGTAGATTCAAAGAAATTACCAGGATTAAAAACTCTGGAAAGATGGCAAATCTGCTTGAAAGAAGCTAAGGATAGATTATCCAAACTGGAGGACAGCTTTGCAATGTGGGAATGTGAAAGGAAAAACTTTTTAAAAATAACAAGGAGACAAGCAGTAGCAATACAAAGGCTACAAGATGACAAGAGGATCTATAATTTGAGAATAAAGAATGTGAATGAAGAAGCTGGGGTACAAACAAAGGAACTTCAAAGGCTATTCACAGAAATAGTTAAGGAAAACTTCCCAAACAAAGGAAAAGGAAATGATATTCTGATGTATGAGGCATACAGAACTCCAGCCACCTACAACCAAAACAGAGCTACACCCAGGCATATAGTAATCAAGAGCCCAGAAATTAAATATAAGAACAGAATATTAAAAGCTGTTAGAGACAAGAAACAGATCACCTATAAAGGAAGGCCCATCATAGTAACAGCAGATTTCCCGACACAAACGATCAAGTCAAGAAGAGCCTGGAGCAAAATATTACAAGCCTTGAAAGAAAATAACCTCCATCCCAGATTGGTATACTCTGCTAAACTGTCTCTAGAAATTAATGGAGAAACAAGATGCTTCCAAGACAAAGAGGAACTTGGGAAATTCGCAACCACCAATCCAACTCTACAGAGAATACTGCAGGACATTCTAGAGAGAGAGAAAAGTACTAGGATTCCAGGAACAGTGGCAGAGAGGCCTCAATGAATGGAGCAGAAAACAGAATGAAGAAGATAAGTAGACAACTGATGGCAAAAAAAGAGCATAACAGAAATGAGGCAGAGAAGATTTTATTCAAAACTGATATGACTGATAGTCTCAAGTCTGAGAGTATAGGCAACTACACTGAACATGACAAGACCCTATGATACACATTCTGGATTGATTACTGCCTGTTTTTGAAGTTCTATACTATACAAGGTTGTGTTTTTGTTAATACTGTTATGCACTAATATATTCAATTATACTATGTCTGAGGAATAGCAAATTCTATTGAAGATAGCAAGAGACAACACAGGGACTATGGTAGAACTCTTTTTACAACAGTCTTATATGTTTTTTTCGTTTCATGTGTTTATAGGAATATGTTTTGTTTTCTCTTGCTTTGTTTTGTTTCTCCCTCTAATGTAGACTGGTTAGAATTACATGTTAAGACTCATGCGTGTGTAGAACCTATAAACAGTTTATGAAAACTGATCTTACAATACATGATGAAATGAACAGATACTTTGAAGCAAAAGAGACACTAAAATACCTAGTTAAAATCCTGGGGTGTTATAATATGAAACCCAGAAATAATATTATTCTTTGTTGAGAACGATATTAGCCTGCTTGGGTCTCAACATAATATCTCAACATAATTGAAGATATGGATAATTGCATGTATATTTAAGTGTATAGGATTGATAACCATATTTCTAAGTTTTTGTTGGATAGTTGAACAGAACTGTTTGCAGTCTCACTGTTTGAATTCCCACTCTATGTATTTCATTTTTGTATCTTGAACAACTATTTGTTAAACGACAATATGTAAACATCAACTCGTGATTTCTTACTGTTTATTTTTTCTCTGAACATATGTATTATTTCTACCTATTTTCTGTTTTATTTAGTCTTTCTTTAAATAAAAGTTAAAAATAAAAAGTCAACTATCTTGTTAAAATAGTGCTCTTAATTAAAATTACATTGCTTTAGTGTTTTAGGGTTTTTACTAATTTTTAGAGTTAGGGTTGAGCTTTATATGTGCCTTAAAAATTTTTTTTTATCGGTACCGGGGATTAACTTACAACCAGGCACTTATACTGCTGAGCTATTCCCCAGCCCGTCATGCCTTAGGCTATATTATTATATATATATATATAATATATATATACCAATAATATATATATATAATATATATATATCAATAACTATATATATATATCAATAACTACTCTGTATTGGTCCATGAATAAAAATAAGATACCATTAAAAATGATTGTGATTGTGATTATTTTAATATGGGTATGTATATCATCCAAGTGAGATAAAAATATCTTCACTGTAAAGATCACTGTTCTAAAGACATTCATGGAATACATTATACACTTTTAATAATTATGATTTTAAATTTATCATGACACAATTAAGAGACTAAAAGACTAATGCACAGATGAGAGAAGATATTAGCAGTACATGTACCTGAAATGAGGCTTACATGCATAATTCATGGGAATGCCTATAAATTAACAATAAGCATAAAATAGTAAAAGTCCAATATAAAAATTAGACAAGAATTTGAATATTTATAAATGAAAGTATTCAAAAAGTCAACTGAGGGGCTGGGGATTTAACTAATCGCATAAACAACCTGCCTGGCAAGCGTGAGGTCATAAGTTCAATTCCTGGTACAAAAAAAAAGTTTCAAATAAACCAAAACAACAAAAAGTAAACTGGAAAATAGTTGGACTTTTAAACAACAAGAAATACACAGATGGCAAATAAGCACATGAATGGACATTCAAACAATTACCTTCAGGGAAATGCAAATTACAACCAAGTGTAACATTGATACATACTTACAAATGGCTAAAATTAAAAAAATAGCAACAAAGCTACATGCTGGCAAGGATATGGAGAAACTCATAAACTGGCGAGGGGAATATAAAACAGTGTGACTACTTTGAAAAGCAATGGGGCAGTCTATTATAACATCCAGTGTGAGCATCGGTCCACCTCCTTTACCATGCTGGTGGCAGGGCTGACTGTTCAAAGGGAGGACGGAAGCACTGGACCGGCTGAAGTCCACTAAAGGCAACCAAGTTGAAAATTTAGCTTTGTCACCTGTCACGATGAGCTCCACCCCACTTCTGCATTTCCTCCGTGTCTTTGAGCCTCACTCTGTGTTCGGTGAGCAATTCCTCTTCTTAGTCAAAGTGGGAAGCTGTTACTGCTCATAAGGACAGTAACTACAGATCTCTGGAAAACAGTAAAATAGCAAGACTTTAAATTAATCTACTAACAAATGAAAATGTTTTGCTTGTTAACTGATGTATCAAAATTGGGCTTTTCACACTGAAGAAAAACCCATAAAGAAAAATAAATCAGTTCTATCATAAATGTCCATGAAAATCTACCCCCAGACTGTCCTGGGATTTGCTAACCAGCAAACTGAACATAAAATTTGGAAACAGATGTAAGCTGAATATACAGATATGAATATTCATCCAGCATATTAATAACCAGCAGAAAAGACTAATTTGTCAATAGTTTGCAGGTCAAAACATATTTTCCAGTTTTCCCTACTTCCCTCCCTCTACCCCAGTGACTGTCAAAATGTCTGGTACTGCTTAAGCAAGTGAGTCTCAGAATGTTAGTCCTAGAATAAACTCTGGAACCCATTTGGGCCACAATGAATACAAAAAGCAATTAAAGTATAGTACCTACCATCCAGACACATAAAGTTAAGGGCAGAGGAAAGCACGTATGAGACTGTCTCTAGTATTTTGATGCACACTAATCCAGAGCCCATTTGAAATGGCAGAATGAAGTCATCAACAGCAATGGCTTTACACTTTGGGGAAAGTCGTTCAAAAGGTCGTTGCTGAGACAAGCCCAGGCCAGCAAGGAGGAGGAGTAAACCAAATCCTGGGTGTAGATCAAGTCGTTTTGTCTCTTTCGTCAGCTTCATGGCCTTCTGGGAGACCTTCCATGTCATGCCCAGTCCTCCCTCTAGAAAGCTGTTAAGCCCACCTTTCTGTCTTAGTACTTAATAAGGAATAAATCACATGCAGCAAAAAAACTTTCCACACCAGGTGGGAGTGACGACAGATTCCATGGTGCTAAACACCAGTGGTCCCAAGGCTGAAAGGCCAGTTGTAGGAGGATTTAGGGTGTCAGGGAGAAGGGATGAGAGAGGAGAGAACTAAACCCTTACCCTCTGTTAGGCAGAGGTTGGTGAGGCTGGACAGAGAGGGAGCCTTATAAAATTTTATTGATTGTAACATTGCTTCTTAAATTGTATAAAGAGACTTCAAAACATGATAATATTGCTTTTCTGGGTCCCAGACCGAAACTGTCCTACTGAAGTTAGTTTTGGTTACAAGAGGAAAATCATACAGAAACCACAGTTCTCTAAAGAAGTCCACATCTCTCTTGGAAAATGCCTTCAGAAACAGAAGAGAATGCAGAAGCGATTGGATCTTGGAACTTACAGGTAAAAGAAAGGCATTTGTTATGGTTCATTTATCCTGTCAGTGAATGTTTTCCAAGCCGAGTTCTAGACACACACTTTGCTGGTGCTGGAAATGTGATGATTCCAACAAACTTTCTGTTCTTGTGGCAGTTGAATTCAGATAGAAAGAGATAAACACTAAAACAAATAATTATAGACTTGCTTATTAACACAGAGGCCAAGTCTACCTGGATCACCTGAGAGTAAGGAAAAAAATAAAACAGCTTGAGAGAGAAAATGATTCCAAACGTCAGACAGGGAAATGAGTCGGTACAGCGCATGGTTAGCAGCATATTCAATGAAGTAGGATGTGATCTAGGTTCAGATCTTGGCTGTACTTTCCAGGAGCTATGGAATATCAGGAAAGAACTAACTACAGGAATACTAACTTCTTTAGTGCTTCTGTAATAGAAAAACGCCAGTATACCTGGGTTTTGTAGCCGTTAGACGGAGTAACAGATGCAGTGCACTTAGAATAAACGTTGCTTGTCATCTTTCATTTGGTGTTGACAGTTAGGACTGTTGTTCTATTTCTACTAGCAATAGTCGCGTGTCAGATAAATCTCATTGGCTACAGCAAATGCAAAGCTTTGACATCATGCTTTTCCCCGTTTTGCTCCTAACAATGACAACAAAGTTTCTTGGAAAGTAGGTCAGATGCTAACTATCACTACTGTGACTTAAATGAAAGAGAGGGTGCACAGGAAGCTTTTCAGCAGTTCTGAGGGCCCATCCAGGCTTCTAAAATGGTGACAAAATATTTCCCTGAGGGTTTATTTAATTTTGTCCCCAAGCTTGTTCGTAATTTTGACCATATGGTCCTGGAGGCTTCTCTATTTTTAATATTTCTACTTTGAGTGCTTTGCTTTTTAACCTATTCTAGGATAAGTCGCCCCCTTTAAACCACCCCCACTCTTTCTACCAAACCTTGATTTATTTTCCTTGAGCAGATTTCTCAGAAGGGCAAATTTTTAGAATCCTGTTACTTTGATAAACTCAGAGCTAAAAGCTAGAGACATCTCAAGCCATTTGAAAGGTCACAACAAACAGAGTTCTGCACTTGATAGGCAGCTTGATATTGTGCCAAGATCACTCCAAGGGTACACATTACACACATTAATAGCATTTCATAAAAGAAAGATTTTTTACAAAGTCCTACAAAATTCAATCTGGTCCATGATGGTCAGATAATTCTTCTGAAGAGAAACAACAGAGTTGTCCATTCAGGATTCCTTTAGACCATCTGTTCTCATTGCTAAAGGACAAAGCATAACCAGAGGATTGACCAGAATCCTGCCTGCTTGAAACCACCTTCTGCCAGCTGGACCTCAATCCCCACATTCAGGCTAGGTAAACTGCATTTAGGAAGTCTACTTCCTGAAGAAAAAATCAAGTCTCTGTTCAGCGAGGCCATTTTTTCCCTGATTCATTGGCTCTCATAGCTGGAGTGGGGCTCTATGGAACTAGCATGCAGCACACACATTACTTAAGGTGGGAGTTGGAAACGAGATCCTTTCTTGGATTCCCCTACCTGACCTTCAACTCTGCTGTCAGTGTTTAAACTCAGCTGTTCCCCTCATGATCTATGAATGTTCTGTATCCCCCAGATAGGAGTTTTAATAAATATCTGAATAACCAATAGAAGAAAAATAAGGGTTAAAAATATCAAAGAACACTGTAAAGACAGGAGAGGGAAAGGACCATATGGGGACTGGAAATCTTAATATGAATGATGACAAGGAAAATGAAGGGCTGTCTGTAAATAAAGTATCTAGGATCAACACATCCATTGCATCATCTACGTCTACGTGAGGCATCCTTTTACAGGACAGCAAACTTTGCTTTTTTCTAAACATTTTATAAAAATTTTACCCTTTTGTTTGTAGACATCCTAACCTCCAGACTGGCAGTCCTCAGAGTGGATATTACTCCCACTTTGCCAGTAACTGAAACTAAGGATCTGAGAAGTAATAAAAGTTGCTCAACATCGCACAAGTGATAAATTTACTGCAAAGAATCTCAGCCCTCTGCCTCCTAATATGGTGCTCAATGTTTCCCTACTTTACTGTACTCATTTTTCAAAGAGATAAAGGTCAGGACAGTGAAAAAGAACAGGATCTGGAGACAAAAGCCTTATATTCTAGTCTTGCCTTCCCAGTTTCTGATGTTGAACAAATCTTTATGTTTTCACAAAATGGAACAATTTATTGTTTTCCTTCACATTTATATAACATTTACATTTGTAGGGTATAATTGAAAACTCTTAGTGCAGAGTACATAGTAAAGCTTGATACACTTAAGACATTATTTTAAGTATAAAGCCAAGCTCTTTGAAAAGCAAAAAAAGGAAAAGGGAAGGGAGGGGATTATGAAAATGTGGACTAGAAAACAAACAAAAAGAATAGGTTACTAGCTCAGGAAGACCCATGAAGTTTTATATGTTGCTTCTTATACCCTAAATGGAAATTTAAGACACCTTGAAAATCTGCAGGACAGTCTGCCCTCCTGCTGCTTTGATAATGGAATATACACCACCTTCGGAGCCAGGGAGCCTCAGAACAAGAAATTAATATAAAACCTTGTTCCTAGCTGCTGATGCCATGGAGTTGGATTGGAAAACTCCCTTGGTGAAAGAATTTCTAGAAAGCTACCTAGAAGTCCCTCAGATAAGGCAGGTAGGAGGACCTCATAGCTATCAAACACACACACACACACACACACACACACACACACACACACACACACGCGCACACACACACACACACACGCACACACACACACACACATGAATAAAACCAACTTATCAACAGTGAAGTGATTTCTACCAGATACCTGCAGGAAATCCTAAAATGAAGAATATTTAAAATAAATGAAGGGACCAAAATCATTAAAGGAAAAGAATAGGATGTTACATTTTTAAATGCCCACACATATAACATATTAAAAAGAAAAAAGCAAAACCAACTTAACTTATTACATCCAGGACTTAAAATCACATACAACTTCATGTACCTTTACATACACATGAATGTGAAGGCTTACATCTGTCCACAAGCACACAGACATAAGGGTTTTAAAACAACAAAATCTGTTTGTATCATTTTGTAAGCTGCTTCTTTCCTTTAAGAGTAGTTCATGGAAGCTTTCTATATCAACAAATTAATCCAATTTAATTTCCAAATATAGTATATTAGATATATATCAATTTAATTTTAAAATATGGGTGTATATACACTAATATATGCATAGATTAATCATTCATTGGCTGGTTTCTAGTTTACTATTATTTTTATTTGGCATAAACAGTAGTTTAATAAACACAATTATAAATATTTAGTGTGATTACTTTCTTAAAGTTACTGTCTTTGATGCAGAATTGCTGCATCAAACAGTTTTGCACATTTTCAAGTATCTTGATATATACTGAGAAGCTGACCTCCAGACAGGTTATATTTAAATTATACTCACACTAACTATATACAAGAGCTCCTATTTTCTCATTCTTTTGCCAATATTCATTATTATTTTCTACTTTTGCTAATATAAAAAAGTGAAAATGGCAAGTTCTATTTAGGTGAATTTTTCTTACCAATAAAATAAAATAGTTAAGTATTTTGATTTTTTGTGCTTCTTTTGTTAATAATTTTTCATGTCTTTTTCAACCAATCATTGAGTCTCTCTGAAGCTCAATTTTCATAGTTGTAAAATGGCATTAATAAATCCCACATCTCACCACTGAAGTATG